AAAATATTTAGAAAGCAAAGCAAACAATAAAGGTTTAGGTATGTACAATGTGAGGCAGAAAGAGAAGTCTGTTCTCAGGTATCTGTCTTGGGAGACTAGATGATGATGATGTCATTAACTATAATAAGGAATACGAGAAAGGAGCCAGTTAGAAGAGAAACAATAGAAAATTCGGTTTTAAACAAAATGTGAGGTGTCTGTGGGCAATCCGGGGAAAGACACCAAGTGTTTGGATGTACAGGTTTAAAAGCAGGTTGTATGTCTCACATAGAAACACATGTGATATATGGGTGTCAGTTCAAAACATGAGAACTGCTTAGACAGTCAAGGGAGATAATTAGGACTAAGATAAAGGATGACAGCAGAATACTCTGGAACTCCAAACTTTAAGGGTAGGCAGAAGAAAGTACCATCAAAAACACTGAGCAGGGGCCGGGCTCAGTGGCTCAGCCTGTAATCCCAGCACTTTGGGAGGCCAAGGCAAGTGGATTGCCTGAGCCTGCGGGTTTGAGACCAGCTCGGGCAACTTGGCAAGACCTTGACTTAAAATAAATAAAATATTAGTCAGGCATGGTAGTGCATGCCTAAAGTTCCAACTACTTGGAAGGCTGAGGTGGAAGGATCGCCCCTAAGTCCAGCAAGTTGACACTGGGGTGGCCGTGAGCATGCCACTGCACTCTAGCCTAGGCTACGGAGTGAGACTCCAACCCCCCAAAAAACCAGTAACAACAATGAGGAGAAAGGGCACAAGGTGGTACCAAAGGAGGCACCAGGCCAAGGTCAGAATAACAGCTACAATCCTCCCTGCTCCAAACTTTATTCTGTTCAAGAGCCCAAACATCTCTACTCAATCTGTCGACCTTGTCTTCTCCTTTGTTGAGATCAAGTCATCCTGATCCAAACTACCTCATCTGCTCTGTGTTTCACCTTGAGTATCTCCATCTTCACCCACAACCCCCCTTATTCGTGCCTAGGAAGAAAATGCCCCTTCACTTTTTAAGGATTGAGCACAATCAACCAGCAGGAAAAGACTCACTCATCCCTCCCTGACCTCCCACTTATTCCTTAACCCACTCACTCTGGCTTCTGCCCCTCCTGCTACTGAAACTGCAAGGCCTTTCCTCCATACTTCTTTGCTTTTGAGAGTCTACTCATCCTCTCAACTCAAATCTCTCACCTCCTCTGTGGCACCATTCTGATCTAGCCCAAGGCAGTGTAAGTGGCTTCCTCTTACACTTTTCCCAATACCTCATTTATACTTCATTTTGAACACAGATAATACTCCTACATAAACTGACCAAGGCTAAATTACTACAAAAGGCTTACTAAATGGAGAGTTTTTTGAAGGCCAGAGCTTGGTCTTATTCTTTTCTATGGTTCATCAGTCCCTCCCATACTGTCTTTGCTACATAAGTTCTATAAATCTTTATTTAAATAGTATCAAGAACTAGAATATACTCCTGTTATATCTACCACTCAAGCCAATCATGGTGCAAGTTATCTGATAGGTACACAAAACACCTGTAATTAATTGATTCTTTTATTGTTAGAGAGGGGTCACCTAAATGTTGGGTTACCAATAACTGAAAACTGGGACAATGACCAGAAATATTAAAGTAGTTTCCATGTACTAAAGGCTTACTATAATGGGATGTTTGACATACCTGATCTCACACAATCTTGATATCAACACTACAAGGTAGTGATTATTATTCTTGTACTTCACATAAAGAAACTAAAATTCAAAGCAACTGGGTAAGCTGGCAAGCAGCAGTCTATCCAGGTCTGACACAAAGCCCCATGCTTTTCTCCCTTGGGCTAACACAACTACCAAGGTGTCAACTTCTGGAGAGCTAGCCTGGACTCTTATTTCAGTTAACCTTTTTCATGGAAGTGTAATATCTCCTCAAAAAGTTAGTAAGCGAGGCAACTTGACAGTCACATGAAAAAGAATAAAGCTGGACCCTTACCTTATGCCATATAAAAATTTAACTCAAAATGGATGAAAAAATCTAAATGTAAGAGCTAAAACTATAAAGTTCTTAAAAGAAAATATAGGAGTAGGCCGTAGGCCAAGCACAGTGGCTCATGCCTATAATCCCAGCAATTTGGGAGGCTGAAGTGAGAGGACTGCCTGAGCCCACGGGTTCGAGACCAGCCTGGGCAACTTGGCGAGACCTCATCTCTACAATAATTTTTTTTTTTTTGAGTTGGAGTCTCACTCTGTTGCCCAGATTGGAGTGCAGGGGCCGCTCCCAGCCACCACAGTCTCAACCCGCCGGGCTCCAATGATCCTTCCACCTCAGCCTTCCGAGTAGCTGGAACTATAGACGCGCTCTACCACGCCCGGCTAATTTTTCGATTTATTGTAGAGATGAGGTCTCGCTAAGTTGCTCAGGCGGGTCTCGAACCCACGGGCTCAGGCAATCCACTCACCTCAGCCTCCCAAGGCATGGGATTACAGGCTGAGCCACCGAGCCTGGCTAGTGTACAACCAGTTCTATAGGAATTTTGAGGCAAAAATCACAAAGTGTGGCTCCAGCTTGAATGAAGAGGGCAGAGTGCCACTATTTCTAGGAAAAATGCAGGAGCAACCAGTATAAGAAAGGAATGCTGAGTGTAGGATGCCTATAGGACTCTAAGGAGATTCCAGTAGGCAGACAAAGACACGGAATGAAACTGGAGCCAGAAGAAAAGTAGGGGCTAGCAGGGTAATTTAGTTCTAAAAATCATGGCAGTGAAAAATACTGATAAGACTGGGTAGAGGCACAATTCTCACTTTAGCTTGCATCACAATCACTTAGAGGGCTTCTTAAAAACAGGTTGCTGGCCCAGCCCTCAAACGTTTCTCACTTACTAAGTCTGGGGTTTGCATATTAACCAGTTCCCAGGTGACACTGATACATTAATGACCACTGAGGTACAGCAAAAAGGAGAGAAGCCCCAGGAAGAACTTTGAAGACTACAGAATAGTTCCATAACGTTTCAAACACAGTGGAGAGACAAGCTAAGCGCCAAATCAGCCCAAACTGCAGTAAAAGGAACAACACTATCCAGAGTTTTACTTTATTTTGCTGCCTATTGATGAAGAGTTACATGCAAATATCTTTTTTTTTTTTTTGAGTTGAAGTCTCACTCTCTCACCCAGGCCGGAATGTAGCAGCATGATCACTGCTCACTGCTGCCCAACCTCCTTTGCTCAGGCGATCCTCTGGCCTCAGTCTCCTAAGTGGCTGGGACAATAGGCACACACTACCACATCCGGCTGATGTTTTTAATTTTTTGTAGAGATGGAGTGCCATTATGTTGCCTAGACTGGTCTTGAGACCTCTTGGGCTCAAGTAAGCCTCCCGCCTTAGCCTCCCAAAGTGCTGAAATTACAGGCATGAGCCACCGCGCCCGGCCTCATGGAAATAACTTAAAAGCAAGTATCAAGAAAACATTCTATAGCACAGATTTTAAATTTTAAGCATAAGAGCTGGTAGCAAAATTTTAAATGTTTTCAAAACTTTTTAAAAAACCTATCTTCCTGAATGCAATCATAAGATGCCAAAAGGCCATTTAAGGGAGGACACAGACAGTCCTAAATCTCAGTAAGAGGCTGTCCCAACTACAGACGGAGTGCTGCCTAAACACTAAAAACTACCTTCTTCTAGAAAAGTTACTATAAAATTTATACCATCTAGAAAAAGTATGTGTATTTTAAAAGAATGTATACCATCATATAATAGACATCTAAAAGGGAAGACAGTTGTTAACCCTCCAAGTCCAGGTGGTATGATGAAAACAGGTGCTCATTTACCTCTTTGACTGAGAATTCCTTCAGGCCTAAATATTTCAGGAGTCTCAAAGGCAAAAATGCAGTCACTTTCATGGACTGTTTCCAGGTCGTCTGTATCACAGAAGGAACGATGGAACCCATCATAGTACATTTCTGTTAACACAATCTAAAATAGAAAAAATGTATACGGTTGGGTAACTGGAAATTTAATACCAATTGATCTCCCAATTCCATGAATGTATCCAGATCCTCAGGACTTGTCTGAGAGAATTCTGAAACATCTCCTTGAGCCCATATTATTTGCCTTTAATAAGAGAATCTTGGAAGCACAATATTCTCTGTAATTGTATAATATATAGTCAGCCCTCTGTATCCATGGGTTCTATATCCATGTATTCACCAACTGCAGATCAAAGATATTCAGAAGAAAAAAAAAAAGATGGCTGTATCTGTACTAACCAGGTACAGATTATTTTTGTCATTATTCCCTAAAAAATACAGTATGACAACTATTTACATAACATGTACACTGCACTAGGTATTATCTAGAGATGATTTAAAGTATATGGGAGATACTGCTATTGTGTATCCATAAAAATAAAAAATAAAGCATATGGGAGTATATTCATAGGTTATATGCAAACACTATGCCATTTCATAAAAGGGACTTAAGCACTCATGGATTTTGGTATCCTGGGCAGAGTCCTAGAACCAATCTCTCAAGGACATTGAGTGATGACTGTACTCTGATTTCAGAACTCCATGACACTAAATCCAGAGATCTTCTACAGTTTAGTGTAGAAGACACCCAGGAGATCATAAAGTCTGAACTCCCTGTTTCACTGGAAAAAGAGAAGTAGACTTTCCTAAAGTTCTACAACTACTCAGTCTCATGTCAAGGATAAAGTCCATATCGGACTCCAAGACTTTCTCCCACATCATTAAATTTTCTTCTTTGCAGGTTAAAAATGTCAAATAGTCATGAATATTTACATTGAAAAGAAATAAAATCAACTCAAATCCCCAACAATAGTAACTAGTTAAATATATTATAGCATTACAAGAATTATAAAGATATTAAAAGGAATAAGTCATGTATGTTTGCACCAATGTGCAAAAATCTAAGTAAATAAAAAGCAAGGTAAAGAAAAATATGTCTAAATGAGTCTACTTTTATAAAATAATGTTGTATATGCACAGGAAAAATCTGAATGAACACTATATAACATAGTATAAAAGTTGATTACTACTAAAACACTTACTTCCACTTTCTACGTTACATTTCTGAAATGGCCGAGTATTTTACAATGAAACAGAAGAACAATGGAGACATTTAGAGACTTCATTACATGCTAAGCAGCATTGTCTAGTGGGTACAAGAAGGTTCCAGTCCCACCTGTCACCAATCAGTGCTGTGAACTTAACAAGTCACATGGTTTCTCTGAGCCTCCTTCAAATGAAGAGCTGGACTGGACCCCTAAAGTCCCTCTGTCAGCACTAACATTCTGCAAATCTATGAGGTAAAAAGGGTTGGTGGCATATTTCGCAAACAGTCCAGCAAAAATGTTCCTGGCACATTTTCCTTCTAATGAATTTAATGACCATGTTGTTTTTCTGCCGGTGAACATGCAAGTCAAATTCACTCTCTCCAGTAAGCTGAGGTCAAAAGCAAACCTGTAATTATTTTACCAATTTAAACTACATGCAAAAAGAGCCAGACAGCCCTGGAAGTTTTAAAGATGCAACCAGATTTGCCCTGGACACTACCAAAGCCTCTCTGCCCCTCTTTCTGCCTTTCCCTCATCCTGAAGGAGAAAAAAAGAATCAATGAGCTCGAGTAGGAATATGAACATTTTATCAATGTGCCAGAACTTGCCCTATGAAAATATGAGATATTTGCTATATTAGGGCAACACTGTTGGTTGTTATTTGTTTTACTGTGGTAACGTCTCAAATGAGGCCACATGAGGTCAAAGTACAAAACACCTTTATTATTCCAATGATTATACAGCAGCTTCCAGAAACTATCTAGGGGAAAGTTATTTAGCTAAAGAATCATCTTTCCTCAGTAAATCTTAAATAAGGAATGTTTTTCCAAATAAAACCATAACAGTGAATTGAGTAAAAACTACATGCAAATATGTCAAGTCACAAACAAGGTCAAAAGTACTTTTTAAACATAACTGCATATCAAAGATGTACCCTAAAAATGGAGAAGCAAGGGCACAACCTTCCTTTCTCTTGTCTAAACAAGGTAAGAGACTCTGGTCTAGTTCTAACAAGAAAATGAAATGCACCGGGCATCTATGATATATAGAACACCGTACTAGCAAGAAGTCCATTCTTATCCCATAATGGAGAAGAGTTTTCTAGTTCACTTCTCAAGTTTTTCTAAGTCTCTTTGACTGTCAAATAGCACAGGGACACTCTATTGCCCTCATACACATCCATATGAATGATTTAAGAAGGGTTTTTTTTTTGAGTTGGAGTCTCACTCTGCCGCCCAGACTAGAGTGTAGTGGCCACTCCCGGTCACTGCAGCCTCGACCTGCTGGGGCTCCGACGATCCTTCCACCTCAGCCTTCCAAGTAGCTGGAATTACAGGCGTGCGCTACTACACCTGGCTAGTTTTTTTATTTATTGTAGAGATGAGGTCTCACCAAGTTGCCCAGGCAGGTCTCAAACCCGCGGGCTCAGGCAATCCACTCACCTCAGCCTCCCAAGGTGCAGGATTACAGGCTGAGCCACCGAGCCCGGCTTAAGAAGGGTTAAGTAATTAATTATACCTTATAAGCAAAGCTACAAGAAGGTCCTGGTGTAAAGTCATAGCTTTTCCTTTTTAAAATATATATAGTTAAATAAAACATAAAAAGTTTCTCTATATATTTCACTATTTTGGGTCTTTTGTTCCCTCAACACTAGAAACAAATAGTTTTAAATTATCTAGTCATATTTGACAAAGAACTGTAAAAACTTCCAGGAGAACAGAAAGCAACACTTTTGTGGTTTGTGTGTAATCAGTCTTAGCAGACTTATTACCTGGTCAGTGGGGATCTTTGTTTCCATAGACACTGCTTCCCGAAGTCTGGCGACAGTCCCAGACAGAGGCACGGCCACACCAATCCTCATGCAGTGAGAACATTTCCCTTGATACACTACAGTGACATAGAGAGGCCTGTACGGATCAAAGTCAGATCTTCTCATTAGTCACTTACTTCAACTAAAATATAGAAGAAGCAAAACAAACCTGATTTAAAAATTAACATAAAACCAAAGCTAACCCACGCCTTTGTTTAGAAGCCAAATGGAAAAACTTCAACTTGGATCTAAGTAGAACTATCATACAATAATCAAGACCTTTAGAAAAGTCAATCTTCATAAAACAAAAATATACCCATACTTGGTTCTGGGTTTTGCATTTTCTTTAAAACAGCATACCTCCTGGAAATTTTGAGAAACAGTTCAAAATAAAGCAACTAAAAAACAAGAAGTGCAATGTGAAATCTCTAGAGAATCTAGAAGTCACTCAACAACCCTCCCATCTCCCCCCCGGACTGCCTGTAGATGACAAATTGAAGAAGACTACACTATTTGCTTGCTTGCCTCATGTGCCTGCTGACACTGCAAACCCAGATAGGCATTTGCTTATGTAAGGATGTAGCAATGCTTGTATTCAATTTATCATTAATCCCATTACTTGTCTAAATAAGTAAGAAGACCTAATGCGAGCGTACAGAGGAAAAGGAATATTATCCGTTCTTACCTTGTGTGGGGTAGAGGAATTGGCAAAGAAATGCAGAGAAAAGGGTCAAAAGTGTTGCTCTGTTTCTGACAATGAGGACATGTCAACGAAGATCTTCAAAAACAAAAAAGTAAAACATTGACATTAAGATCACCTAGAATTATGTCAAGTAAACAAAAAAAGAGGGAACATTTGATTTGCTCATACCTGTATTGGGCTTGAAAAAGTTCTTGTACAAAAGTGCTACAGACAGGAAAAGATGGTCCCTCAGGCATCATATCAGGCTCTAATGGTGGCTTAAAAAAAAAGAAAACGTAATTTCAGAGACTAAAAGTATCAATTCTTGGTTTAAGATGAACCTAAGAAGTCACAACTGTCCTCGACTTCCTTTACAAGCTATGTATATCAAGCCCAGATGCTTCAGTGCCAGGCACCTGCTAAAAGAACCAGAATGCAGCAGACAGGATGTGGGTCATATGGACTAATTTCCTCAAACAGATTCTGTCATCGGTCAGTCTCTTCACCCCACTCAGGCAGCTGGGCAGCTCTCCTTCCCCGGGATACTCCAGCCTCCCTCTAACTGCTAAAGGCCTACCCAACCTCTTCTAGAAAGTAATCTCCAACCATTTTGAAAGTACAAATTCTTCCCATGCCTAAATTTTAGGTATGCTGTTCATGTTGGTGCCTAATCACACTCCATATTTTATTTAACTTTTTCATGTACCTCCACCTAACAACTAGTTATTGAGCATCTGCTGCCACATGCTGAGAGCACTGTACAGGATGTTAGGATGCCAAGATAAATAAGACACAGTGCCTGACCTTGAGGAGGTCTCAATTTGGTGGGAGAGTCAGCCACATGCATATAGTCGTAAGACAGTATAGAGTGTTCAGGCACAAAAGGACCCTGAATCAGAATAATTTAACAACATACCAAAACTAGAAATTTAAAATTTGAAGTACAGAGCAGAATTACCAAAAACCTTAAAAGCTGTGTGAGGGAAGCAACTCTTTGGTTTTAATTTTTTCCATTATGTAAATCATTTTATCCATAATGTTAAGGCTACATGTATATAAATTGAGAATAACCATTATGTTTCTCAGTAAGAACATTCTGGGGGTTCAGTTACTATGCTCAAATCCAGTCCTAACAGCAGAGACAGCCATATATTTTCTTTTTGATAGTGTATTTGTTATGGTAAACTATGGAATATGTCTTCTTAGAACAAAAAGTAAACATATTTTGTTTCAAAAACAGTTTAGTGGGATGGAATCATTTATTTTAATCTAAGGTTAGTCATACATGCAAATGCTTCCCCTCTCATTAGACTATAAATTGCTTGGGGACAGCATCTCTTGTATCTTACTCTGCCAGCACACTAGTAAACAAGATGAAATATTCTTAAGTAGTCATTGCATTTTATACTAACCCAGAGATAAGTCAATTTCATTATATTAACTCATTTGCAGCTGCTGATGTGAGTTTACATCATCCCAAATTCTGTTCCTGGTTGCTGCTGACATGAATTTACCTTATCATGGAAGAATGTCTTTTCAGGTTTATAATCCAAATAAAAATATAAAGTATGGAATACCAGTCAGAGTGGTGTCTGAAGCAAATACTGGATAGGTCTGCAACTTTCAGCTGTATTGTGCAAAAGGTGACAATTTGGAAAAGAACATGTCACTTGTGTTTAATGACAGAAGTTTGTGACAACCAGTTTCAGATTTTTTAAATTTTTACCAGCTCTCAGTATTAGGAAAGTGAAAAATATGCCAGTTGCAAATGTGTTAACTAAATGCAACAAGTCCTCAGCAGGGTTCAGGAGAAGAATCTACACACTCTCCTCACTCCATTCACTGATGTTCACTGCTCCCTGACTTCCCCAAGGGAGTGGGCACTCTTTACCTTCAGAGGAGGCTGGCCACTCTGCTTCACGGAATGATTGAGGTCTTCATGAACTCGGTCCAAAAGCCAAAGCAGAAACTCCTGGGCATCATGCTGGGAATTTCCCCGATACTGCAGTGCATTCTTAGACACAATACTCTATGCAGGTAAATAAATCAGTGTGAACAGTAGTGAGTTCCTGGCCTTAAGGAAAAACTATTTGTTCATAATCCCAAAGAGGGATAAAAAATCTCAAAGATATTAGAGTACTTCCTGGAAGGACAACAATGTGAAAACAGATGGCTAATGTAAAAACCTCACCCTCATGCCTTGTACCAGAAACCTTAAAATACACTTATCCAGTAAATCCTACTTTTAGGAAGGTACCTAAAGGAACCATCAAAACAGCATGTCAAGTCTTCTAAGAAGATATTCAACAGGGTTTATAATAGCAAAAAATTGGTAATGACTTGGATATCTTAAAAATGGGATTTGGTTAAATAAATTATGATACAACTACATGACATAACCATTCTTAAATACCAGTTGTATTAAATTTAAAAAGTGGCTGGGCACAGTGGCTCAAGCCTGTAATCCCAGCACTTTGGGAGGCCGAGGTGAGAAGACTAGTCTGGGCAACATGATGAGACCTCATCTCTACAATTAAAAAAAAATATATTAGTAGGGCGTGGTAGCATGCACCTGTAGTTTCAGCTACTTGGAAGGTTGAGGCAGAAGGATCACCTAAGCCCAGCAAGTTGACGCTGGGGTGGCCGTGAGTGTGCCACTGTACTCCAGCCTGGGCAAGAGTTGAGACTGACT